TTATTCTAATTACCCTCGATCTCGAGAATGTGGAATACTCCTCCTGGACCGAACTTTTTAAGATCACAACCCGTGCCTACCAGGTTGAAGATCACATCTTTCCCGATGAAACGGATACCTCGACCGCTTCCACTTCCACCAACCCACCTCCAGAACAAACTCCGGAGCAAGTTCTTGCCGCCGCCGCCGCAAAAGCCGAATCTGAGGCCCTTTGGAAACGACTCGATGCCATGGTGTTACAATGGATTTATGGGACTATATCCCATGATCTTTTGCACACTATTCTCGAGCCGGACTCTACTGCCAAAGCCGCATGGGATCGCTTGGCCGATCTTTTTCTTGACAACAAAAATACTCGGGCGCTGCATCTCGAAACCGAATTTTCCAATACCCGGTTGGAGAGCTTCCCTAACATTGCTGCCTATTGCAAGGCTCTCAAAACTCTGGCCACGAAATTATCCAACGTCGGTTCTCCCGTCAACAATCAACGCTTGGTGTTGCGTATTGTGAATGGCCTCCCTCCGGCTTATGACTCGGTTGCTTCTCTCATTCAACAAACTGTCCCTCTTCCTCCATATTCCCAGGCCCGATCGATGCTCCTTCTAGAAGAAACCAGGAAGGCTCAACAACACAACTCCTCACCCACTGCCTTGGTTCATACCGGTGCTCCAGTTGGTGTGCCACGGCCGGATGTTCCACCTGGCCGCCCTCACAACCGCGGAAGGGGGCGTGGCTCTTCACGTGGTGGTCGTAACCGTCCCTCCGGTTCTCCAGCGGCACCCCAAACTGCCAACCCGTGGCAAATGCCCCCATGGGGTTACTGGCCGCCACCATGGAGCATTCCGCCGTGCCCCTACCCATCCACCTCGTGGCCCGGAAACCAAAGCTCTCGGCCTCCCTCCCCCGCTGCCGGCATACTTGGTCCACGGCCTCAACAAGCACACATTGCCTCCCCGTCTCCTACGGATATCACCAACGCCATGGCCACCATGTCCCTCACTCCGCCGGATGACAATTGGTACCTTGACACGGGGGCCACATCGCATATGACGTCCAACGGAGGTACTTTCACGTCTTATTTTAATAATGGTTCTAAACAACGTATTATGGTGGGTAATGGTCAATCCATACCCATTATAGCTCATGGCAGTACGTCTTTATCACCACCCAACCCACCCATTCTCTTACAAAATATTCTTCATGCCCCTCATTTAGTCAAAAATTTAATTTCCGTACGTTGTCTTACTACCGATAATAATATTTCAATTGAGTTTGACCCGTTTGGTTTTTCTGTGAAGGAACTCCGCACGGGAATGCCTCTTATGAGATGTGATAGTTGGGGTGATCTTTATCCTCTTCGGCCAACCCATGTCCAGTCATCCTCTCCCACCGCCTACATTACTGTTCCGGCCGAGACATGGCACAACCGCCTCGGTCACCCCGGCAACCCCGTTTTTTAGTTTCTTAGTTCAAATAAAATCATTCCATGTAATAAAATGTGTAGTTTAGATTGTATGGCCTGCCAATTGGGAAAACATAATAAACTCCCATTTGTTTCCTCTATTTTTTACACATTCCCCATTTGACATTATACATAGTGATCTTTGGACTTCACCAATTTTAAGTTCTAATGCTCATCGCTATTATGTGTTATTTTTGGATGATTTTTCCAAATTTCTTTGGATTTATCCATTACAACATAAGTCTCAAGTCTATGACACTTTTGTCAAATTCTATACCTATATTCACACGCAGTTTAATCAAAAAATCAAAACCCTCCAATGTGACAATGGTAAAGAATTTGATAATTCTTCTTTTTCCACTTTTGCTATACAACATGGTCTACACTTTCGTTTCTCATGCCCATACACCTCTCCTCAAAACGGCAAAGCCGAACGTACCATACGCACTATTAATAACATGGCTCGGACCTTGCTCTTACAAGCCTCTATCCCGCCAAAATTCTGGCCTCACGTCGTCCAAATGGCTACTTATTTACATAACGTCTTACCCTCCTCCACCCTCTCCAATCTCTCCCCTACCCACATTCTCTACCACAAAACCCCATCCTATGACCACATTCGGGTGTTCGGATGTTTATGCTACCCGCACCATCCTACATCTACCATTCACAAATTAGATGCTCGGTCCACGCCATGCATTTTTCTGGGCTTCCCCACTCACCACAAAGGCTATATTTGCCTTAATCCCCAGACTGGCCAAATTACTTTGTCACGACACGTCACTTTTAATGAAACCATATTCCCATATAAATCTCTGGCCGAGCCTACACCTCCACCTACTTACAATTTCCTCCAAAATCAAATTAATCCTATCCTCTTATCTCACCTCCAGAATAATAACTCCACCCCACCATCCCATCATCTCACATCATCCAATGGTCACACGTAGCAAGGTGGGTATATTCAAACCAAAACACCCCATATCCCTCATCTCCCAGACCTCCATTATTCCCTCGCCCCTTCCTAAATCCCCTATTCTTGCCTTACGTGACCCAAATTGGCTTTCTGCCATGCAGGACGAGTTTAGTGCCCTTATTAAAAATCGGACGTGGGAGTTCGTTCCCCGGCCCCCTAATACCAATATCATTCGTTGTCTTTGGCTTTTTAAACATAAATACAGGTCTAATGGAGCTCTTGAACGACACAAAGCACGGCTTGTAGTCAACGGAAAATCACAACAAATAGGCATTGACTGTGACGAAACATTTAGCCCCGTGGTTAAACCGGCAACTATACAGACTGTTCTCTCAGTGGCGCTACATCACTCTTGGCCCCTTCACCAACTTGATGTCAAAAGCGCTTTCCTACATGGTAACTTAGAGGAAACCGTTTACATGCATCAACCTCCTGGTTTCCGCGACTCCAACAAACCACACCATGTTTGCCGGCTTCTCAAATCCCTTTACGGTCTCAAACAAGCTCCCCGCGCATGGTACCACCGGTTCTCCTCTTTCCTTTCCACCATTGGATTTTGTAACAGTGTATGTGACCCGTCCTTATTCATATATCACCGGGATCACCACACAACCTATCTTCTGTTATATGTGGACGATATCATCCTCACTACCTCCTCCGATGATCTTCGTTGCTCCATCATTCAAACTTTGGCTGCTGAGTTCTCTATGACTGACCTTGGACCCCTTAGTTATTTCTTGGGAATTGTTGTCACTCGTCACCCACAAGGTATTTTTCTTAATCAAGCAAAATATGCCGGTGAAATCCTCTCTCGGGCCAGCCTCTCTGATTGTAATCCCGTAGCTACCCCAGTTGACACCAACTCCAAGCTCAGTGCAACTGCCGGTCCACCCGTCGAAGACCCCACTCTTTACCGCAGTTTAGCCGGCGCTCTCCAATATCTCACGTTTACACGTCCAGATATCTCCTACGCCGTTCAACAGATTTGTCTATTCATGCACGACCCTCGTGCCCCTCATCTACATGCCCTCAAGCGGATTCTTAGGTATGTTAAAGGCACTCTTCTTTTCGGTCTTCATCTACGGCCGTCACCCATTGATAGCTTGATTTCCTATTCTGACGCGGACTGGGGTGGCTGTCCGGACACCCGCAGGTCAACTTCGGGATACTGTGTCTACCTCGGTGACAACCTCCTATCTTGTTCATCCAAACGCCAGCCTACCCTTTCCCGTTCAAGTGCCGAAGCCGAATACCGGGGAGTAGCCAATGTCGTTGCGGAGACGTGTTGGTTAAGAAATCTTCTTTTAGAACTTAAATGTCCTCTATCCAAGGCTACATTGGTTTATTGTGATAATATAAGTTCAGTTTATATGTCCGGCAATCCCGTTCAACATCACCGAACAAAACATATAGAAATGGATATTCACTTCGTCCGAGAAAAGGTTGCCCGTGGGGAGGTCAGAGTTCTTCATGTTCCTTCGCGGCACCAATTCGCCGATATCTTCACCAAAGGCCTTCCGCGCGTTTTATTTGAGGACTTCCGGACCAGTCTAAGCATTCGGGCACCTCCCGCTTTGACTGCGGGGGGTGTTAACGCATGCATGGCACATGCATGTCGCATACATGCAATTCGGAACTCATATGTCCACATGCAGTGAACCTCCTTACTAATAGTATATTATTGTTGAACATTCAAAATAGTTTGACTTAGAATTATATTTGATCCACTCGTATAGCTTTCCTACGCCGCACATGTAGTGATAGGCTTATAGTTTGCTAATCAATTTTACATTCTTATCTTTACACGTTCAATTGTAAATGTAAAGTGTATTTATACACGTTGAGATAAATGAGATTGGCACGTTGAATTCCAAACATCTAATTGTTGCACCCACTTTTATACCCACTTTTGTACTGAAATGTTTTTTTCGTCTGTGAACCCCGGCTCACAGACAATATTTTGCACAAACAAATATTGTCTATGAATTGGGTTCACAGACAAAAAAACCTCCACAAACATGGTGGGTATAAGGTGAGTATAAGAGTAGATACATCAAACATTATTGTTTTAAAAAACATGTACCAAGAAAGATGCGAGGGTGAAACATTAAGTGTAGTCAAACACACCTTGAAAAAAACTGTCCCCCCTAAAAAAACCATTTCAGAACTATGAAAGTCTTAGTTCCAAATTTTAATTTTAATAACCCAAAAAAGGAAGTATGGAACATGTCCGTTCAAAGCACTGGTTAGGATCCTAGAACAAGTCAGGCGTATGGTGGCTCCAGTTCCAGTAAAGACTGGTTCACTTAACTCTTATTATTATTTTCCAAAAAAAGGAATCAGCAGATCCTGTACAAAATCAAAACCTAATAATCCATGTAAAAGACTGCAGCATCGCAAACGATTTATCACGGTTTTGATTGTGTGCAGGAAAACCAGATTCCATTGTTGAAACAATAAAAGTATAAAACCGGAAAATTAACCTTAAGTCTGACAAATAAGACATACAAAAGTGCTCTACCAATTACCAAACCAATGGTGTGGACTAGGACAATAAAAAAGGTGAAATGTAACATGAAATTATTTGATCCGAATGATAAAAGCTAATACAATAGTTCAAATAGTAAATAGAGCAAATATGTCAAATTTATGTGCAATGGTGATTTATGAAGAGAGATACATAGAATACTGCGTCCATCCATCAACAATTAAGGGGAGATATAGAGCTACAGATTACTGAACGTCCTCCACTCATCCAGACAAGCTTGTAGTGCTCTTAGCCATACCTTCCCAGTTGAATCTCATTCCAGCTTCAAAATGATACTTGTATAACAGGGCAACCTCTTCAAAGTTGATAATGCTCCAAGAGTTCCTTTATTCAGAACTAGAAGGTGCAAAACTAAACAATACATATTGTGCAACAGGGAGACACTTACGTAACTACCATGATGGGAAACCCTTTCAAATCTTCCACCACAAATGTAAACAAGATATTTATACAACGTCTTCAACCCAAAAACATTGGAATTCAAATATTGATACAATATCTTCTGCCAATCATTGATACTAAATGTTGTACCAAATATTGATACAATATCTTCTACCAAAAACACTGAATGTTGTAAAGATGGCATAAATATAAAGAGAATAAAACATTCCAACGTGAATACACAAATAGATAGTATTCTCGCATAACATGATCTATATTACCTGAATTAACCATTTACACTTAGACTTCAGAAGGAAATGGATGGCTTTTATGGACAATGTGTTTGGTTGTTGGTTGGCAGCATAAATCAGTAAAGACATCATCACATTGCTTACTCATATGGTGCGTGACGCAGGGAATACATAGGCTGCTTGATGCATGGGTTAATCCAAAAACATCTTTAGTTAGAAATAACACAACTCCTCAAGCCAATGAAGCCTAACAAGTTGATGTTCTTTAAGTTAAATGTTCTTAAGGAACCACCAGCAACAAACTACGGAGTACTAGAATAGCTGCTAGTGATCTAATAAGATTTGGATGGTCGAAACAAAAGACATGGCGGTAATTGTACAAAACACTTGTTTGAATAGGCCATCATCATTACATTAATAATAGAGCCGGGAATTGAACTTTATGACTTTTTACCATTAATTCATTCAAAATGGATATTAGCATACATCACCAGTTTTTGAATGTGATATTTCATTTTCAGATTAATTATTTCATGGATTATGGTAAGCCAACTTTGAGTAAAAATATTAGAGAAACTGTAAAAAAGCAGATATAGGTAAATCGAGGGGATCATTTATGTACCTTATTGGCAGTTCTGTGAATTGGAAAATACTTTAGCGGTATTTGTTGATTGGTGAAGCCATAATCGAGTCTCTGTTGTTGGTGCAGTACGTGTGTTCTAATGCATCTGGGTAGGAATCTATTCTTACTTGCTTGTCCATGATATTTGGATTTTGATCCAATCTTGAACAAGCAACAAGATATGATACATATACCCTGGATTAGGAAGAGAGAGACACGCGACACCCAGAGGGGAGAGCCGGGCAATCCCGTACCATCTCCCCTCCAAAAAACAAATCCAGAAATTTTATTATGATGGTTGACCTGCCATGAGAGCGCACCCGCCATGGCAAAGGTCAGTTAGGACAACAGTTTCTACGAATCACAATTATCGAGCACTATCCTGCCTACAGTAAGGCCCTCTTCTTTACCTATACATGCATGCATAATCATCACAACTTGCTTACTTGAATAATATAGAGTGCCACACATATCAACATAACAACCAACAAACCAATTTAACCTTCATCAACCACAGCCAATTGTGTTGCTGATGTATCCGATTCGAGGTGGACGCCATCGACCAAATCCAGATCGCAAACCAGAAACAGCAGATCCAACCGACGTTCTGAAGTTTAAAGTCAATATCGCATGATCTACAACATCAAAGAAGAACCGATCTCAGAGCATAGTAGTCTAGATCGTTCCAAAATATGTAAACGAGTAGATATATCCTTTGAGCAAACAAGTTCTCCAATGTATTAACAGATAAAAGAAATCGATGGCCTTCGTGATAAATAGGAAAATAAGAACAAACACGTCGGGATGCAAAATCAAATACCAGATATGACCGTGTATGAATAGCCCGGTTACTCCGTCAGCGATGCAACACAAACCGGCACCAAATCTAGTTGTTCATGTCGCGTTCGTCGAACAATATCAATAAGGCAGCAGGGCAAAATCCGTGATTCAATTGAATACACATCTAGAGAGATCAATAGGGGAATTGGAGACGAAATTCAAATTTTGATGAGATGCAGATCTAGATGAAACGATGGAGGCCGATGAAAAGATCGGTCTGACTTGGATAACCCTTACGCAGAGGTTGCGTTATTTATTGAGGGCAAGGAAGGATCGAACGGCTGCGATTAGAAGTGGGTTGGAGGATATATTTTAAATTTCAATGGTGTGATTTGCATTAACGTAGATTTCGGGGCGGTTGGGCAAAGAAATAAAGAATAATACGGAGTAGTCCTTTAATTAGACTGGACGGCTATTAATTAATAGCGGAATTCTCGACTCATTTTACGGATTACTCCGGTTTTTTAAGGGGAAATTCTATGGTGCCTTTATAAATTCACAACTCACAAGGTTCCGGTACCTAAGTTTTTAAACCAATGAGACTATGGTAACCTGCCATCTCACCACCATCGCCATATTAGTATATCGATATTATTATTTGCATTTTAGTCCAAAAATCAACAACTTATAATTTTTTAAATTTATAATCCACACCTTATATTTTCCAAATAAACACACGACTGGAAGTTTCTCAAGGATTTTTTAATCCTGGTGAGCGGTGAAAGAAAACCAGATAATTGAGATCGATGAGAGAAAAAGATTTCTACTAGTATAAAACAACAGAATTTCGAAAATTAAGATAGGTTTTCGGTTTTCCTATCAATTCAAACCCTAGGCCGGATTGCTTGATTTGCCTCTCTACCTATACAACTACCGTCATACATGGGTCACCGCCCACCGGCCCTGCAAGTACTAAGAAGCAAAGTTCTCAAGCCAAACATAATGCAGTTAACAGCAATTGCGACGTGCGCTTTGAACCTTGCTAACATAATGGAGTTTTGAAATTGATTTATATGATCAATGCTAAAACTCTTCGCAAACGTTCTCGTTTATGCAAGACAGATGGTTCGATTCTCATGCATGTGTTCTTGTGAAAGATTGTGATGAAGATCATAAGGCTTTTGGATAATTTAGAAATGTCGAGAACCTTTAATTTGAAGGATTAAATTGCAAATAATAGAAATAATATGACATGGTGATTTACTATAATTTGATTGAATAAAAATTAGAATGTACCGAAACACACTAAATTTTAAAGTGCACCATAGACGAACCCTTTTTAAAGTCTCCGTATTTTTTTAATACTACCGTTCTTAAATAAATGCAACACTTTGACTTTTACACTATTCACATGTTCTACTTTGATTGCGTTTTATTTATTAATGTAATAATATTATTTTATGAAAAAAATATCGTTAAACTTGTCTTATTGTAAATTTTCATAATCTAATTTTTTTAATTTTTTACTAATACAAAATCATTTATATTAATGGTCAAAGTTGTGTCTCGGCAAGTGTGAACTGTTGACCGTTGCATTTATTTAAGAACGGAGGAAGTATAAAATAAATAAAGGGATGTTGAATTGTTGATGAATTGCTTATGGGATCGACTTAAAATAACATTATTACTTAGGGCATCTCCATTCATAGGATTATTAGAGGATTAAGTTGGTGATGTGGCGGATTATTTTTGAGATCATGATTGAGTGATAAAGATTATTTGGTGAGATTATATGACAAAATAATCCGGGATTGAAATATGAATCCGGATTATCTCAAGATTATTGTGAACCGAGTATTAATTAGGGAGTGCAGAACCCACAAAAGATCTGATAATTTTCAGATGATGAATGATGTAATTTACAAAGTGTGAGATTATTTTGAAAAAATCTACGTGTCATTAAAAAATCTGATTATTTCAGTATCATGGATGTGGATGCTCTTAGGGTTTACGTGTTATAATCTTCATCTAAGTTTGACTCATTTTACTTTTTTTAGTCCGTCTCATAAGATTGTCGCATACCTTATTTAATAAAGTTTGTGTAGCTCTAAATCATTCTTACTTTATTCTTATTTTATCAATTCAATATCAACCACATAAACATCTTTTTACAGATTTGCGTGTCACTCGCTCTTGCCTCATTGTTAGTGGGACAGAAGGAGTATTATTGGGTTTAATGCACCAAACCCCTTCGTGATATAGAAAATCAACGAATTAATCCGTTGTGATTTGAAAAATGCGTCAAACCCCCCTTTGTTTTAATTAATCATGCACAGAACCCCTTTTATGAATAAATTTAATGATTTGGAAATCACATTTCTTAATATTTTGATTTAATATGCAAGTAAATATGTCAAGATATCTGAATCATACAAAAATTTTGATCATTTTTCTTTTATTTGACTATTTAATTTGTTCACAGAAGGGATTTGGCACAAAATTAATTAAAACACAAGGGGATTTGACGCATTTTTCAAATCATATGAGTGCTAATGCGCCGAATTTCCATATCACAAGGGGGTTTGGTGCATTAAACCCGAGTATTATTTATTCTTATTTTAATCACATCGTTACAAAATTTGAGATCATATCAGGAGCTTTTTAGGAACGCTCACTTAAAATATTTCTAAAATATTGTTGGACAAACTTTGGCTAGAAGAATTGTCAATTGAAGGGAAAAGTGTCAAATAGGGCCCCCCTACTAATACGAAAAAGTCAATTAAGCCCCCGAACTAAAAAACATCCCATTAAACCCATGAACTATAAAAAACGAGGCAAAACAACCCTTTTAACATGTAAATAACCGGTTCCCGATTCCATTAGTCCACGTGTCGTCACGTGTTGCCATTTGTGGCCACCTGTCGGATGTCGTCACGTGTAAAGGTTTACTGGAATTGGTTAATTGCATGCTAAAAGGACTGTTTTGCCTCATTTTTTTATAGTTCGTGGGTTTAATTGGGTGTTTTTTGAGTTTGGGGGCTTAATTGACTTTTCCGTATTAGTAGAGGAGCCTATTTGACACTTTTCCCGTCAATTGAATTATAGACCAAGGTGGAGACAGGAAGACGTTGCCCAAATCAAGAAGAGCAACACAACAAAGAGATGATGCACAAGTAGGACTCAACAAATAAAAACCCCATTTTTCAAAATTTATAACTGTTGAGTTTAATCCAACACGATATAGTAAATATATGTATAAATGTGTATGAACAACTCAGTTTTTACGTGGAAACCCGAAAGGGAGAAAACCACGGGACTTTTTAGGCTAATGTCCAAGCCCTCTCATTCTCATTAATCTCTCCTCACCATTACATAGTACAAGTATTGGAGCTCCCATTAATGGAGTTCTGGGCTAGCTAGAGAGAAATAAGGAAGAAGAAGCTAAAGAAGGGATCCTTTTACATGGAGGGAAACCTCCTATTTATAGGGAATAGGGGGAAAGGGGGCTCTCCACCCTAACGGGCCGAATGGGCCAAAATGGGCCCAAAAGCCGAAACAGGCCTGATAGGCTAAAATGGGCCTTACTGATTGGGCTCCGTACTACGTAAAGTCTTGGGCTCCTGAACAGTAATAGGCCGGGATAATATATCCCAACACAAGTCCCCCAGTTTCTTGAGTAGTGAGCGTGCGAATCTGCTCGAGAAAATATACTCTTGCCTACGCTTTACCTCGATCTAGCTGGAACCTGTGTCTTCGAATAATCATAATATATGAGTGGATGTCCACACTCCTGAACGTAATCTGCCGGTGAGGCACCTCCGTTCCCGACGGGGTCGGGCGAAGGGTGCTCCTCCACGGGCACGCTCCCCCTGAATGCATCAGGCGAGAGTAAAGGACTCTGACTCGAGCTTTCCAACGGAGAAGCTTAGAGGTCCATGCATCTATAAACCGACGTCGCGGTACTGTCAAAACATGATGCACGTGTGTATGTATGAATGTATGAGGTATGATGCATGAATGCATGTAATGTATGGGTGCAATGTATGAGAGAGGGAATGCAAGATGTGATAGGAGCGGTAGCTCTCAACGATAACCCGGGCATGTCAGCGCCGAGGGGCAGACGTGCTGCATAAGAGACGTTCGTCGCCATCCTGAAAGGGATGGGCGACCCTAACGTGAGCCAGACACGAAGGCGCTGGGGCGCTGATCGTGCTGCATAAGAGACGTTCGTCGCCATCCTGAAAGGGATGGGCGACCCTAACGTGAGCCAGACACGATGGCGCTGGGGCGCTGATCGTGCTGCATAAGAGACGTTCGTCGCCATCCTGAAAGGGATGGGCGACCCTAACGTGAGCCAGACACGACGGCGCTGGGGCGCTGATCGTGCTGCATAAGAGACGTTCGTCGCCATCCTGAAAGGGATGGGCGACCCTAACGTGAGCCAGACACGACGGCGCTGGGGCGCTGATCGTGCTGCATAAGAGACGTTCGTCGCCATCCTGAAAGGGACTGGGCGAGCCGAACCAAGAAGCCAAGTACGATGGCGCCGAGGGGCCGATCGCACTGCATAAGACGTTCGTCGCCATCCTCGAAGGGAATGGGGCAATCCGAACGTGAAAGAGACACGATGGCGCTGAGAAGCCGATCGTCTGCCAGGACTTCATCCTGGGAGGAAGGGTGGACCCGGGCGTCGTCCCTCTGTCTGATCTGGGGAGCTGGTATTCATCGTCCAAGGCAAAAGAAAGCATGATTTTAGCCGATCGTCGTCGGCCACTTCATTCTTCATACTTAAATTTTGTAATTATTCTTTATGTATGTTTTTCAGTTTGTACCTCCCGGCCAATAGCGCCGAGGGATAAAATCATTCTTTGCTCCGTGCTCTTCTGGCATCTTTTTTTTTTTTTTTTTCTTTTTTTTTTTGGAGTCTTTTGGTCTTCGTTCGTCCTTGGTCCCTGGTCCCACCGGCGTCCCTACTTCAAGGAGACGTTCGGTGTCCGCCGACATCACAAGGAGGAACAGGTTTATCTACATCGAGATTCCCCCCTTTTTTCGTTCGTCCGTGGTCCTTTTAGCCTTACCGACGTCTCTTGCTTCGAAGAGGACGCTAGGTACCCAAAGAACTCGCAGGGACGAACAGGTCTACCCTCACGGGTCCCCGACTTTGTTATCCCACGTCCATCGATCCATGGTCATTTGTGGGATAAACAGGTTTATCTTGGCAGGCTCCCTTGGTTCGTCTAGCCCCCTCCGCGTCTCTACTAACCTCTACATCGAGAGGCGTTCGTCTTCGGCGGTTGGAGAAGATCTGGCACACCCGGGCAAGATTCCCTTCTACATAGGAGCTACCCTCCTCTTCTCCCCATCTTTTTTTTTTTTTTTTTTTTTTTTTTTGAGGGAGGCAATCCATACTCTTCGTTCGTCATTGGTCCCTGGTCCTACCGGCGTTCCTACTTCGAGGAGACGTCCGGTATCCGCCGATATCTCAATGAGGAACAGGTTTATCTGCATCGAGATTCCCTGGTGCTTCGTTCGTCCTTGGTCCCTGGTCCCACCGGCGTCCCTACTTCGAGGAGACGTTCGGTGTCCGCCGACATCGCAAGGATGAACAGGTTTATCTACATCGAGATTCCCTGGTGCTTCGTTCGTCCTTGGTCCCTGGTCCCACCGGCGTCCCTACTTCGAGGAGACGTTCGGTGTCCGCCGACATCGCAAGGATGAACAGGTTTATCTACATCGAGATTCACTGGTGCTTCGTTCGTCCTTGGTCCTTGGTCCTACCGGCGTCCCTACTTCGAGGAGACGTTCGGTATCCGCAGACATCACAAGGAGGAACAGGTTTATCTACATCGAGATTCCCTAGCTCTTCTTTGCTCGTCCCTAGTCCGTGGTCCTACCGATCTTCCTACATCGAAGAAGACATTCGGTATCCAAGAAACTCGTAGGGATCACGGGATGTCACATATAATGGTGGTGGCATAGCGAACGGATATAATGACGAGGCGATAGAATAGCTGGTCGTCATGCGAAGGCGATGGTCACCCTCCTTGAGGGGAGTCGTGAGCCCGATCGCAAACTCAAGAGGGTCGGCATTGGGAGCCGACAAACAATGATCATAAGGTCGCTGAGCAGTCGGTCCTGAAAGAATCAAACAACGGTCCTCGTCCGCGATGTGGCGGGGACGAGGCCGGTCTTCAAAAGATAAGCACGCCGAGCCGAGAGGCCGATCGTGGTATGATGATGTCGGCGATGAGAGGCCGAGCATGATGTGATAGCGTCGGCACTGAGGGGCCGACCTGCAATCCAGCAGTGGCTCTTATCCGCGCAGTGCGGGGATGAGGCCGGTCTTCAAAAGATAAACACGCCGAGCCGAGAGGTCGGTCATGATATAATGATGTCGGCAACGGGAGACCGATCTGAAATCAAGCAACGGTCCTCATCCGCGCATCGCGGGGACGAGGCCGGTCTTTAAATAAGATAATCACGCCGTGCCGAGAGGCCGGTCGTGATATAATGATGTCGGCAATGAGATGCCGATCAAGATATGGTCAAGCAACGGTCCTCGTCCGCGAGGTGGCGGGGACGAGGCCGGTCTTCGAACATGATAATCACGCCGTGCCGAGAGGCCGAACATGATATGACAGTGTCGGCAATGAGAGGCCGATCTGAAAGAATCAAGCAACGGCCCTCGTCCGCGAGGGCGGGGACGAGGCCGGTCTTCAAATATGATAACCACGCCTAGCCGGGAGGCCGGTCGTGATATAATGGTGTCGGCAATGAGAGGCCGATCTGACAGAATCAAACAACGGCCCTCATCCACGAAGAGCGGGGACGAGGCCGGTCTTCAAAAGATAAACACGCCGTGCCGAGAGGCCGGTCGTGATATGATGTCGTTTGGCCCCCGGCCGTGATGGTCTCCTCTAGGCCTTCGGCCTCTGAATGATGGATGATCGTCTCACGGTTCTTCGTCGTGACAGTTCCCTCTAGACCCTCGGCCTCTAGGTGTTCTTCCTAGGCCATCGGTCTCTAGGGTGGAGATGCTCGTCCCACGGTTCTCAACCGTGGTGGTCTCCTCTAGGCCCTCAGCCTCTAGGTGGAGATGCTCGTCTCACGGTCCTCAGCCGTGATGGTTTCCTCTTGGCCCTCGGCCTCTGGATGATGGATGATCGTCTCACGGTTCTTCGCCGTGGCAGTTCCCTCTAGACCCTCGGCCTCTAGGTGTTCTTCCTAGGCCATCGGTCTCTGGGGTGGAGATGCTCGTCTCACGATCCTCAACCGCGATTGTCTCCTCTTTAGCTGGCCCTGAACGTCTTCAAGACTCGGGCCGAGCGTCTTTTAATCATTTTGCTCGAGCGCGTCGAGTGGTTTTAACTGCACAATAAGCATGGTAACGGGCCGCACGGCCCGACAATATGTATACACACCTAACCATCTGAATGGCTTTCTTTTTAACATCCACGATTACCGGCCTATGGGTCGTCGTGACCCTCGGCCCGGCTCATCGTGCGGGGTTAATGGACGTAAAAGCTCGCGGCAGGGCCAATTAGCAGCCCGCCGAACGTCACATAAAAATATTCATCGGTCTGTGAGTTTTCAAACTCAGACCCAAGTTAGTCGCACTGTCCTCGGAAAAACGAGGTTGAGTGCTTTGCTGCCCTCGGGCCCCATAGGCCACGTTTGGCAATAGTCACTTCGCGCCTAGCGGCGCGGATGGTACTAGGGTACGATCGTCGCTTGAGCACTTGGTGCCGTGCGGACTAATGCGTAACCCCCAAAAACGCGTCATCGGGGCACTACCCTCTGGAGACGCTCAGATCGCTAATCAAGCTGATCGAGAGTGGGCCATCGGGGCCACGAGAAATTAAATACTTAATAAAATGTTAGCTGAACTAACCATCACTTGAGCCTCGCTCAGCATTATTTAATTCGGGACATTTTATCCCTAATAAATAATAGTGATATAACCGGTAATAGCAATGATACTTCCCTATCAAAGGCCATTCTAGTATACTCCGTTCGCTAATTAAAGCCGATCGAGAGCGGGCCGACAGGCCCACAACAACCAGTCATTAAATTAAAATGACGGTGAAACTAATTATCACTAGAGCGTCGCTCGGCATTATTTAATTCGGGACATTTTAATTCCCTACTAAATAATGGTGATAAAAATACTAGCATTACTAATAGTTTGAACTATTAACAATTAAGTGTACCAATTTAAAAGTAAGAATAGGCACTTAGCTTTTTTGGAGATAAAGCAAGCTTCGGCCAGCAGGGCTTTGGAGTCAGTTATGGTCTCCCCTTGTCAACTTTGACTTTGGTCAGAATTGCTCCAAGTTGTATCCGCTGCTATCATGCATCCTTCGAAGTTCGGACGTGGCCTTCTGGGAACCAAGACCTTCGATTGGTTCGCAGCACTCCGTATCTTTTGGACAGGGAGCTGGAACATCCTCTCACTGACCCGAGGCCAAATTGTTTGGGCTGGCCACCTACCGTCGGCGGTACGGGCAGTTGCCGAGGCGCAAAGGAAGCGACGGACGTCGACCTTGGTGGGGCCTGGCGGGGCTTCATATGTGTGCCTCCCTTAAGCTCCAAGCCGCCATTAATGGCGGATATTTCTTCAGGTCGCGTTAGCAACGAGGTGGAGGCTCGAACGACTATCGGCCGCGTGGACGGGTGACAAGCTATTGTCCGCCGATGACAGGCGGCGGTGAGGCGGCTCAGACGGTGGTTGGTGGAGCCAACAACGAGCCATGGGCGACTCTGCTGTCGGCGGCGTTTTTCTAGAAACGCAGCGGCGAGACCCGGGACGCGGCCGCGAGCTTCACCTGGTGCAGCTGGACGCACCGGGAGGACCATGGCGGCGGGAACGACGGCGGTGCGGCAGCTCCGGCGGCCTCAATCCAGATCTGCAAAAAGAGAAACCAGATTTGATCTTCCAGAATCCGTAGCTTCTTCGCTCCCCAGAATCATTTTCCCTCGAATTTTTTCTTCTTTTTTGGTGAAATCAGTCCACTTCGTATGAATTTTTGTGTAGAAACTCAAGAACAGTAAAACACATGAATCTTTTTGGACAGATTCCCACAGACGGCGCCAGTGTTGAGTTTAATCCAACACGATATAGTAAATATATGTATAAATGTGTATGAACAACTCAGTTTTTACGTGGAAACCCAAAAGGGAGAAAACCACGGGACTTTTTAGGCTAATGTCCAAGCCCTCTCATTCTCATTAATCTCTCCTCACCATTACATAGTACAAGTATTGGAGCTCCCATTAATGGAGTTCTGGGCTAGCTAGAGAGAAATAAGGAAGAAGAAGCTAAAGAAGGGATCCTTTTACATGGAGGGAAACCTCCTATTTATAGGGAATAGGGGGAAAGGGGGCTCTCCACCCTAACGGGCCGAATGGGCCAAAATGGGCCCAAAAGCCGAAACAGGCCTGATAGGCTAAAATGGGCCTTACTGATTGGGCTCCGTACTACGTAAAGTCTTGGACTCCTGAACAGTAATAGGCCGGGATAATATATCCCAACAATAACTTTTTATTTGTTTTGTGATTGTTATAAAAAATAGGGAAAATAGAAACTAGTAATTCAATTTTGGGAAAACTGTCAATTTAGTCCTCGAACTTTCATGAAAAAGTTAATTAGTTCTCGTACTTTTAAATAAATCAATCAAATCCTCGAACATTGAAAACACGTTCAATTGAGTATATTTTAAAAATTAATTGGCATGTCAGTGGGTTACCCAATTACATGGCACACACATGGCGATCCATGTATGCGCCACGTCATCACCAAACGGCTGACTCGACTTCCACATGTGTGACACGTCAGCAAAATTATTGTTGATTGGGCTGCCACATGTCACTACAAAAAAACACGCGTTTAGTCACGGACCGTAGTCACGGATTTGGTCTGTGACTAGCCTAGTCACGGACTAGTCACGGACTAGTCACGGAAATTTAAAAAAAAAAATAGTCACGGATTTCACCGTGACTACGACCGTGACTACACTTAGTCACGGATTTAGTCCGTGACTAACATCCTCCGATTGGCCCGTTTGATTTTCCGGCCTGGCTTGTTTTACTCCGGCGACTTAGTCACAGCCATATCCGTGCCTAAAACCGTGACTATGATCAAAATTTAATTTTCCATCTCCCACAAATTAATTTGCAACGGTATTATGTACGGATAAATTTAGTCACGGCCATGTCCGTGACTATTTCCGTGACTACTGTGATTAACACGTCATTTACACGTCATTAACACGGGTTGGACGCGTAATGGACACGGTTTTTCTTAGTGACGGACAAATCCGTGACTAAGTCCGTGACTAAATTTTTTATATATGCAGGAGCAGCTCATTCAACATAACCACACCAATTCATTCCCAGTATATACAGTATCTGTTTGAAAGATCGAATGATTTAGTCTGTCTTCTATCAGTTTCCCCGTTTATGCAGTAAAGGTATGTTATTTGAATTATTATTTTTATTTAGAATTAGTTGGTTCAATTTAAATTATTAAAACTATTAAATTATTGAGGTTGTTAATTAATTAACAACATATTCAACTGTAAGCGTAGTAATGTCATAAAATTAGTTAAACTGTTAGGTTTATAAAATAATTTAATTAAAATTAGTTAGCTAAACGTACGTTAGTAATGTGTTAATTAAGTGTATTGTGAATTGTTATTGTAATTGTGTATTATTTATTAATTCAAATGACTTTATCTACATGTTCAAATTATTGGGATTAATTTGGTCATATTATTTAATTTAGTGAATTGTTAATTGTGTAGTACTAATAAGATTAAATGTCATTAACGTAATAATTTAGTGTAGGTTTAAATGTAGGTTTACAAAAATAATTTAATTAAAATTCGTTAGCTAAACGTAGGTTTAAACGTAGGTAGTGATGCGTTAATTATGTTAAATTAGTTAGCTAAACGTAGGTTTAAACGTAGTGATGCATTAAAAGAGGACGGAATGAACTAGTTAAATTTAGTTAAATTTAACTAAATGAATTAGTTAAATTTAGTTAAACGTATGTTTAATTTAAATGTAGTGTTATAATATTAGTTAAATTTAAGTATTGGGTAATTACTGATATTTTGTGCATTATTGTTGTGAATTGTGTGCATTTCATTTAATTTAGTGAAAATTAGTTGATTTTTTAGTGAAATAAATTACTTAAAATTGTGTGCATTGCATTTCATATAATTTTTTATTATAATATTCAGGCATAATGTATAAACAAAATAGAAGTTGGATGTATGATAAAGATGCGGTATTGTATGGAATGCAATCAAATTTTCTCGAGGGAGTCGAGGAATTTATTGAATTTGCACTTGAACATCCGGCTTATATGAGTGGTGATAAAATAAGATGTCCATGTTCAAAGTGTAAAAATCTCAAATTTAAAGACCCACACGAAGTTGGGTATGATTTGTACGCGGTCGGTTTTGTTCCCAATTATTATAATTGGACTTCTCACGGCGAACCACAAAAGCAGTCTACCAGGTCACAGAACCACAAAAGGCAGCAATATTACAATGGCTTGCGTCTCAGAAGTTTCCAGATGGCTACTGCTCCAACTTGTCTAGATGCGTAGACATGAACAAACTTACCACGACGGCGAGCATGAAAACTCACGATGCTCATGTAATAATGCAAAGACTTCTACCAATTGCACTAAAAGAGATGCTTCCTGAACACGTATGGTCCTGCGTTACTGAAATCAGTTTGTTGTTTCAATCAATATGTTCCAGCGTTTTGGATGCGGCATCCCTCCGGAGACTACAAGAGTCTGTTCCCATTCTGATGTGTAATCTGGAAAAAATAATGCCTCCATCGTTTTTCGATACAATGGAACATCTTATAATACATCTTCCGTATGAGGCTTTGACTGCTGGGCCCGCGCGTCTTCTATCGCTGGATGTACAGATTTGAAAGGTTAGTAACAATTTCATTTAAAAAAAGAATATTTATTTCACAATAACTGTTAACATGTGTACCGTTGTTATATTGCATTATTGCAGATTTCTAGGAGAGCTGAAAAAGAAAGTGACCAACAAGGCACACGTTGAGGCTTCAATTTGTCAAGCGTATCTTCAACAAGAAATCTCAACGTTCTCGTCTTTTTACTTCGAGCGTGACGTCATCACCAGAAGGAAGAGACCTGCCCGGAACGATGACATTGGCGAGGATTTATATGAAAATGTAGTTTCCATCTTCAATTACCCAGGTAGAGGTAAAGGTGCTGCGACACAACGATACATCCTGGGTGGGGAATTGCAAATTGCACATACTTATATCCTCATGAATTGTCCAGAAATCTCACCGTTTTATCAGTAAGTTAAATTTGTAGTTATAATTGTAATACTTATCAATTAAATTTGTAGTTAATTTATAGTTTTTTTTATTTTTGACTTCACAGTGAATTCCGAGCTTCTTTATCAGCCTTTCCTGAGAATGAAATTGATGCATTGGTGGACTCTGATTTTGTAAATTGGTACAAGTATCAGGTATATATATACACACATTAATTATATATATTATTAAGTAAGTTTTTTCAATATTTACCTAATGTTATTATCATGTTTATATTTACAGATCAATAGTCGTGGGATTGTCGACCCTTTGTTAGTATCATTAGCGTGGGGCCCAGGTGCCAGTGCCAAAGTGTGGCGGCAATATGTGATAAACGGTTACACATATCACACAGCCGATTACGGAGAGGGCCGACCAACAACGAACAGCGGGTTATGTGTCCCGACCATCGGTTATGATAACTCAGAAACCAATTTTTTTGGTATCCTGCAGGAGATTCTGGAACTTGAGATGCCTTTTGGTGCGAAAAAATTGACATGTGTTCTGTTCCGTTGCACATGGGTCGACCCCACACGTGGCGTGCGCAAAAATCCGAAGTATAATATGATTGACGTCAACCACTCTCGTGTGTACCCGAAAAATGAGCCTTTCATACTCGCCCAACAAGCAGCGCAGATTTATTATGCAGAATATCCTTCAACAAGGCGGACACAGAATCCTTGGGTGTGTGCATGTCCTGTCCGTCCGAACAAAATAAAATCACAAACTCAACACAAGGACGTTGATCTAGATGCTTTTCAGCAACAATTTTTCCAACCTCCGCCTATTGTTGAGACGGTCAACTATGACGTCCAATTAAGTGATCCAAATGGCGGACGTGTTGAAGTCATGCCAGAAACGCACCTTCCGGACCCAACCATTCCATCTGAGCGCGAAATTGAGGAAATGTATGTAGCACAACAAAACGCTCAATATCAGGAAGAAGGTGAATGGATAGACGGTTCAGATACAGAAGAAGATACTGTATATGTAGAAAATGACGATTCTGATAGCGAATAATTGTGCTGTTGTAATTTCAATTTTATTGACTTCTAATATTTGTGCAGATTTCTCCATCATTATATTACTCCAACAATATTTGAATTTTTTTCTATCTTTATCATTATTATTTATGAACAAAAAATTACTCCATATTAATTCAACCACAACAAGTTTTTTATATCCATATTATAAATTCAAAATAAATTTTTTCACAATTCGAAGTTTGAAAATTAAAATTTACCCAATACAAAATATGAAATTACTCTATATTATATCCATGTAATTTCAAATTCGAAAATTCAAAAATTATTTTTAATTTTTCTAAATTCGAAAATTTATTTTAATAATTTTTAATAATTCGAAATTCGAAAATTAATTTTAATAATTCTAAGTTTATTCGAAAATTAACAAAATTCGAAGATTAAAAAAAAGTAATTTACTTTTACTAATCTGAATATTATAATAAATTTAGATATTAATAAACAACTAACACAGATTTATTTATCAAATTTCAAAGATAAATACAAAACACACAATGAAATTGTCACATATTATTTATCAAACAACTAACATAGATTTATTTATCACATTAACCTAACTAACATTATTCATTCCTCAATCGGAAACTTTCAAGAGGCCTAGCCCACAACTCCTGAATTTTCATTCGAGCTTCTTCGTTGATCGGGTCCATATACTCTGAAACTTCTTGTGCACGTTGAAGCATCCGACACAAATTTCTTGCTTTTGACTTGCCCAATGAGTCGGATTCTTCATCTTTATAATCGCCAAAACTTTCAAGGAGTCTAGACATCAACTCCTTGATTCTCTCGTACGCTTCCACGGTTTTCGGCTCCATAAGCTGTGTAATCAGCTTAAGTCGTTTCATACCTCTACACATCGAATCCCAGTCAATTGGACCTCTATTAGCCATTTTTTTTACAGTCCAGTCTTGGGCCGGAGAAAAATGATTTATACTAGAAATTTCAAGTTGTCACGGTCTTAGTCACGGATAAAGCCGTGACTAACCTGTCAGTCTGGCAGCCAGAGAGGTGTCAGGGCCGCCGGTCTAGTCACGGTTTTACCCGTGACTAGAACCGTGACGAAATTCAAAATTTGAATTAGACATGGTCTTAGTCACGGATAAAACCGTGACTAAACCGGTCAAAGGCGGCTGATGCCGCGTGGCTGATTTCGTTGATTACGAAGGGTTTAGTCACGGATATATCCGTGACTAAGACCGTGACTACGCCCTGATATAAAACCGACCCTTAGCGATTTTTTCAATTCCACCTTATTTCTTAACCCTAAATCTCCCCGGCCTTCTCCTCCCTTTACCTCGATCTTCTCTCTGTCTCTCACTCCCTTCGAACTCCACCGCCGCCTTCCACCGTCCGTCGCCACCGACCGCTCTTATCCGTCGTCTGCCGCCGTCCGCAGTCCGCTGACGTCGCCGCCGCCGGTTACCGCCCTTTAAGTCCCCACATTTGTTTTTTTCGCGCCTCTCTCTACATCAAGGTTATGTTTTCTTAATTATTTTAACTTACAAATGTGTTAGTACCCAATTTTGATAAGATTTTGATGATGCCACTATACTAAAAGTCATTATGCCCTGTGCTCTTACTAAATTAAGAATTGATCAGGTTCTTAAACTGTGACTAATTAAAATGTACAATTTTTGTACTAAATAAATTTTTACTGGAAAATTAAAATGCAATAAGGTAAATTTTTACCTTAAAAGGATATTCAGATCCCACCAGTATAAATTTATTTAGTACATAAAATTATCAAGTCACATAATCAGCTGATCAAGAAATGACAATAAATTCTGTACCAAATAAATTTTACTGGAAACTAAAAATTACAATAAGGTAAAATTTGTTTACCTTAGAAGGAGACTTTGATCCTACCAGTACAAATTCATTTGGTACATAATATAATAGAACACGGCACAAACACACACACATACACTGCATGTGTATGATTGAAGACAAAGACAAGAAGAGTATTAAATGCTCAACAGTACGAAGACCAAAGAAGATGGGTCGCACACACCAAATCGTGAAGATTGATCCTTGACTTGATCTTCTAGCTACTAATCAGTGAAGACAAAGGAAATTTCCATTATCAGCTCCAGCACAAGAGAACAAGAGTACACCTCATTCTGCGAATAGGATTGAATCCTCTCAACCAACGGAGGAGATCAACCTACTGGAGAAGCCTATAAAAGAAGGCATAGGCATGAGTTCTAAAACCAAGTTTTTGAGTCTTCTAAGTAGAGTAATCACTCTAAGCATACAAGAGATATCTAGCAAAAGAGAAAGTGCACATTTAACTTTACTCTCTGCTTAGACTCATGCTTCACTAAACTTCCAAGTCACAAACATCCATCAAAATTCTAGAAGTTTAATATCTAGTTGGAGGTTAGAACTTTCTTGTATTAAACTATTGTAAACACTTAGGAGAACAGTTGTTCATTTCCTAAAGTGTAGATAGATAGAGTACCTATTGATCCCCACTGGATCAATTGAGAAAATCCAAAGGATTGAGTAACTTTGAGAAGTGTAATACTCATTGTGAAACACCTTTCAATCTATGCCTAAGAGTTGTAAAGGCTAGATTGGCACTAAGTGTATTGGGCTGAATACTTTAGTGGAAATCCATTTGAAAGAGAATGGGACTGGATGTAGGAGGATTACACCACCTCTGAACCAGGATACACCATGTGTCAATTTACTCATAAGCTAACAAAGCACACACCAACCACTTCTCACAAAAGGATTGTAGTCTGCCAGCAGCATCCTAAGCAGTAGTCTTAACTGACCCTACTGCTTATCCTACTGCTTAATTACTCACTCTCCTTGAGATAAATCCTCAACAAGACTCTTTTATATTTTAGCAGTGGCCTGAGCAGTACACTGCAGGAGCATTAAGAGTGCACGGCAGGAATCTCAGCAGTACACTCACACTCACCCAACTGCTAAGCATACTGCCTCAACAAACGCACTCAAACTCAATTGATTCCCCAAGCTATCTTCTCTCTAAGCAATATCACCTTCCAACCTCTTCACAACTGAAATATCTTCTAGGCAGTTGCCTTGGCAGTATCCTACCATCCAGACAACTGCTGACCTCACTGCCCACACGTTTTCATCTCTCTTCAACTTCACTGATAAGAAACCTGCTCACATCACCCTCTAAATATCATTCTATATCTCAGCAAGAATCTAAGAAGTTGCATTTGCAGTTTTCTACTCTCCTACACAGCAGTATTGTCAGCAGTACACTACCACCCAGTCATCTGCCAAGACAACTGCTAACGCAAAAAGTCTAAAACTATATCCAAATAAGAAAGTTGTGTCATTCTAAATTTCTAGAGGTTAAGACTTCCGCTGTGCATCTATTAATCTCTCAAAAGATTATAGATCAACCTATTAACAAGTGAAAAACTCTTAAAAAGAGAAAAGTCTTAAAGAGTCTATTCACCCCCCCCCCCTCTAGACTCTTTTAGGGACCATCAAGTGGTATCAGAGCAGTGTGTTCCTAGAGTCAGTTTCTGACTATTTTTGAACTAAAGATCCAAAGCCAACTGCTTCCCTAAACTTTCTAAAAATGGACAACCAACTTTCCAAAAATCTCATGTTCAACCTGGACAAGTTTGATGATTGGAAAATCAGGATGAAAGCACATCTCAGTGCTTTGCATGATGAAATGCTGGAAGTGATCACTGATGGGCCTATCAAAATTATGAAAGTCATCACATCCAGAGCCACAGAAGGAACTGAAGATGTATACATTCCTAAACCAAAAATGGAATG